TTCCGAGCCAGGAATCGAACCCTCGACTTCCATCTGAAGTCGAAAATTTTAACCTCTCGGCCATGCTCAAAAGTGATTTCTTGAACTCCAATTTGAACCATAGATGAATCGTAGATGCTGAGTGTGTGAATCCTGAGTGTTAACTTATTAGTTTGATATTATGTGTTTGGAAATGCCATAAGGTGGTGGTCGAAACGGTTTGACAATTCTATGCATGAAGTATGTATGCATAACTCATATGTGTGTCTGTGTGTCTATACAAAAATGTAGGCCCGTATAAATTTGTTCAGGTAAATACATGTCTGTATGAATACGGAAATGGTTCTCTTTCACATCGTGGAGCTCCCAACGGGCGTTCGTGTCGTGGGTTATCAATAAAAGGCGCGAAAACCACCCATCCGACAGCTACACCGTGGGGGTCGATCCGTTGGTGGTCGTTTTTTTTTCTTCCCAATTGATTGCACGTCAATAAAAGGCGGGAAGGCCGCCTCCTAGACAGCACTATCTACTCATTTTTGCCACCCTGGCATATCTTCTATTTCTATTTTGATTTACGGCTCATCTAACACATTCCTTTTTCTTCCATATATATGTAACTGCGTGATTACATCTGTATATCTAAATGGATATACAGGATCGTTCTGTTGTGAATAATTTTTTTAACTTCGTCGTAGCAACTCGGAAGAGTACTGGAAGTGGGCAAGTCGTCAGCGGAGGTTTTGAAGCCAGAAAAAGTGTGTGGAAACAACTGTGCATAATACCATATCAATATTTGGAGTGAGGATACTCCTGGAGTATGAGGAAAAGGGACGGTGATGTTGCAAAGATTGTAAATGAGTTTATTTGTCCATCTGTACATGCGCATTGGTTTGTGATGGCTATATGTCTGTACAGATCGTCCTGCTGTGTACTGCGGAGGTTTCCGAAGAAGAGCCCACGCCAAGGGTGGTTGGTTGTCGATAAAAGGCGCGGGAACCACCCATCCGACAGCAACCCCGCCGTGGCGTGCAATCCGTTGGTGGTCTTTTTCTGTACCACCAATTGATTAAACATCAATAAAAGGCGGGAAAGCCACCGCCAAACCAGCACCTTCGCACTTCGTGGCCACCCACGCTTAACTTCTATGTATTTCCACTCAAGTGTACATTCACACATTTCTCTATCTATGTTTTTTTAATGTTCATTAAAGGTTCATAGAAAGCTTTTGGGATCACATATACATAGTTTTTTTATGGCTCATGCCTTGCACTTACGTGAAGATTGATTTCTGACGTTTTTAATCGCCTCACTTCTGTTCATTTTCAGATAATGGGTATCAATGAAAGGGACGCGCTCAGAAAGGCGTCAAAGCCGGTGTTGCCCATCTCATGGGAGGTAAGAAGAGTTCTTAATAGAAGTTGATAATCTGTCTTTGAAGCTGCTTTTTTCAGTCGTGCGACCTTGTCCGTGGATCGCCCAAACCGGCTAACCGTGGGTCCCACAGCTGGCGATCCACACAGCCGCTCTCGCAGAAGGGGCCACAGGTACTGTAAAGCCTCAAGCGTCGTTTTTATAGTGTTTGATTTTGTCTGTTTCAGATCCACAGGGGTGGCTGTGGTCCACGTCGTTTGGGAGGGAGCTTCGACAGGACTGAGCGAGCGGTGAGTGATGACGAGTGTCTGTCTGGTCCACGTCTGTCTGTGTAAGGTGTTTGTCTTTGTCTTTGCATGCGACGTCCTTGTAGGTGTTTGTCCACGTCAGTCCGTGTCCTTCCCTTTGTGTGCATGCGTCCGTCCATGTCCCCGTCTGTCCACTTGTGTCTGTGCCTGCCGTCTGTCTGCCTGTCCGCGTCCACTCTTACGTACTTGTCCGACTGCTTCCCTCTGTCCATCTGTCTGCTAATGTCCACGTCTTTCTGTCTGCCTGGCTGTCTGCGTGTTGTGTACGCCCTACCTGTCCGTCTGTGCCCGTCTTGTCTACCTCTTTGTCTGCTCGACTACCGCTGTGCGTCCACACCTCCGTCCTGTTTGTCTTCATTAGGGTGTTCTGAGCTTTGCTGTTAATAACACTAGTGTTCACACTGGGCATGTGGGAGGGATTGTTTCACTGTGTCCTACCCGTTGGTTGGTGTGCTATTTTCAATCAACCAATGGGAATGGTACAGTGGTCTCATATTCTCAGCGTGGAAGAGGAGTTAATGCGACCGCTTGGGGAAATTAGTCGGGCTCTCCTTCCTATTATGATCATTGTAGGATTCACTGTTGACTCACATAACCAAATTAGTAACCCTATCTGCTCAGATTTTCCTTCCCCTTTTCCAATTTCAGGTGATATTTTGTATCTCTTCATTATCTCGCTCATTCATGATTCCATAGTCATTTTCGACACACGTTTATAGTGTTCCATCCTTGTCCTCCTTCTTTCCTTTGCTATCATTCTTCATAGTTTTCTATGGCTCCGAATTTCTTATGTTCTTTTTATGGTCTCGGTTCGACTATGACTCCGAAGGTATGTACTTATAGTCTTGATTTACTACGTTCAACTATGAGTTAACTTCGAACTCAGTGTCGAATGGAGAACATAAATACAAGAATCTAGAACATGGAGCTAATGGAAATTTCCGATAAAGGCTAAGAAGTAGCGAAGTAGATGAAGAGAAATCAGAGGAATTCTCTTCGATTCTGCATTCCATGGATTCGATCCTCATCTACCACCTTGGTTTAATGATTCTTTATCCTATCTCACTCTTTTCTTTGCTTTCTCTAATACTGAATTCTTTCTAATATTGATTCATTATTTGGATTCATGGGGTTTATCTCCATTCTTTTCTTTCTCAATCAATATTGGAGAAGAGTGATGGGGGACGGGGGAAGGAAGAGTGAAAGGGTATCGTTGTACTTCTCTCCACTTCTCTTTTCTCTTGATTCCTCATCACTCCGATCAGAAATACTTTTTCGTTTGTGATTTTTGTGCGATGGTTTTTTTCAAAAGACCAAACTCTGACGGGACTCGAACCCGTACTTAGTGCGAGCACGCGTTCGAGTCCAGTCAAAGTTTGTGTTTTTGAACTTAAATCACCATCATTGTACAAAAATCATGAAACGAAAAACTATACTTGATCAGAGCCTATCTTCTCGTGTTTTCTTGACTCCTCTGATTCTTTTAGCCTTTCTTTCTACTTTTTTTTCCTTTGAGCCATCTCGGTCATTTTTTATTAATGCTTCTCTACCTCGTTGGTACAATGTCTCCTCATTTTTACTTTTCACTCTTTTATTTTTTTTTGATTTTCCGATCAGTTCATATTTTGCATCCATCGGCTTTTCTTCGTTCTTTCCTCTGTCCATCAATATTGGAGAAGCTTAGGAGGGGGACGGGGTAAGGTAGTTTGGAAGGGAACTGTTCCTTTTTTCACTTTTCTTATGAGTCTCCGCTCTGATCAGGGTATTTTTCGTTCTGAGTGGTTTTTTGTCAGGGTGCCAGTGTGCGTGAAATCTGCGCAGCTATGGCGAGTAGAGGGAAAAATCTCGAGCTCAGACGGGAACTGAGCTTGTACCTAATACAGCTACGGGATTGAGTCCTTTCCGAGCTTGAAGTTTCACCCATACTGGCCATTCTTGTAAGGCTATTCTGTTGTTTTTTTCGGTCTACTTTCCTTTGTCTTTCTTTCTATATTGATTTCTTTCCTATCTTTTTCCCCTCCTTCCCTCTTTTCTTCCGTTCTCTACGGGGTATAACCATCCTCCGATCAGTCGAGTTCATTTAATGGACATACGTTTGGTAGATTAGAAGGACTATGACGCGAAGTCAAAATCTTTCGCTGTTCTATCAAAAGTATGACCATTAAAGGAACCTCCTCCAAGCGGTTGTCTGAATAAGGTAGTTTTACGGACAGCAAAGCCAATACCAGTGGAGACAGACGAGGGAAGGGAGGATGGATGACTAGCAGAGGATCGGCAGACATATGAAGGCAGGCAGACGGGTGCAGAAGGACAGAGGTGGGTGTGTGCAGGCGCAGATAGTCAGGAAGGCGGAAGACGTGGACATGTGCGGGGGTGGACTGAGGGCAGCGAGGAGGACAGGTACGAGGGTGGGTGTGGGTAGGGGGAACAGACAAAGAAGGTGGGTACAGGCAGAAGTGGAGAGGAGAGGGAGGGGGCGTGGACGGACAGGGAAAGGGGGAGGTCGCTAGGAGTGGTGACACGCGGGCCTGAACAAGTGAGAAACCTTTTCATCCTTCCATGCCCGCCTGCTTCCGTATCCCCATCTCCCTCCCCTCCTCTCTTCCTCGCACCCTCCCGCCATGTCTTACTTATCCATCCATGTTCCTCTCCTTTCCGTTGCTGTCTCTCCTACCCTCCCTTGTTGTGATGCCCGTTCACACCCCTCCCATGCCATCTGCCCATAACCCCCACCCACCTCCTGTGCTATAAACGTCTGCCTCTGCCTGCCTTCCATTCTGACTGCGTCTGACTCCATCTTCTGTTCTCATCGGCCCTGACTGTGACCATCTATCTGCCACTGCCTGCACTTCTCCTGGCCAGCCCACCCATCCATTCTTTCCCTTTGCCTGACTCCAACAATGTTATCATTTCTGTCCATACAACAGCCACAAGCAGGGATCGCCGCTTTTCGTACTACTCCAGAGACTTATCAGACAAAGTGGATGAGTAGAAGAAAAAACAAGAGAAGGATAAGAAAGGAAAGAAGGGGAAAAGAGATAAAGGAACAAAAAAACAAGAGAAGGATAAGAAAGGAAAGAAGGGGAAAAGAGATAAAGGAACAAAGTATGTGGACAGGAACGAAAAGAGAAAAGGGCAAAAAGATAAAAAGTGGAAGTATACTGAGAATGATAAAACAAAATGGTAAAGAGTGCCCTAAGCGTTTGGAACAGAGTAAGATGAGACAGCAAAAAAATAAGGCAAAAAAAATGCAGTGATCGAAAAATAGCCGTCCCGTTCTCCCTTCCCTTTACAGTTCCCCCACTTAGCGTTTTTCCCCTAGCGTTTTGTCTGTGTTCCTCTTTTGCGGACTCTGCATCTGATTGTGAGAGGGAGGAAAACCACATTTCAAGCCTTTCCGTTTCCCTCGCCTACAATCTAAAACAGAAAGCGAGAGAGGTCGAACACAGGCAAAACGCAGTGGATAGAAATTTAAAACATCCTAGAAGAGAAATATCGATTAAATCCTGCGATCGATAGTGAGAAGTAGCTCAAAAGAGACAAGCAAAAGCAGAAACAGATTCGAGTATTAAATCACTCCTAGAGAAGACAATAAAAACCTAATGATCAAAGCAAATAGCAACCCTAAAAACAGGATAACGCTGAAATTCCTTGATTCACATTTTGGATCCTCTTTTGCGGGTCCTTCTTTAGAAAGAAGGGAGAAAGCCAACACTTCATACCTCTGCATTTCCCTGACTACAATAAAACACAAAATCCGTCAGGGGATCCCACCGAAACCAAAACCAGAACTTGTAATCCAGCAAGAACATATAGGAAAATACGGATGAAAAGCAAACGAAAAAGATGGAGAGAAAGTTAAGACAAGAAAGAAAAAAGTCGCATTTTCAAACTACTGAGTCGAATTTTCAGAACGATATATTGACAGAAAGAATGGAGCAAGTATCTACCTCTCCCTCCCCCATGCTTAAAATAGAGTTTCCCAAGCAGCAATCCTCAGGGGCTTCTACGGACAGCAATGCTAACATTTTAAGAAGACAGACAGAAAGAACGGAAGTGTAGACACACGCCAGCAGTCTTGCAGACATACAGATAGACGGACACAGACAGACAGACAAGAACAGACATGGACAGTACACAGACAGACGGATTGGCAGACAGAAACAGACATGTACAGAACAGGTGAACAGGTGGACGTTTGGGCAGACGCACCCAGGAGGACGTGAACGGACAGCACACACAGGTGGGTACGGACAGACAGACGCGGACAGGACAGGACACGAACGGACGTGTTCAGACGGGGCCGGACGGGCACGTACAAAGGGAAGGACAAGGACTGACGCGGACAAACGGCCACCAGGACGTGGCATGCAAAAACACGGACAAACATGTAACACAGACAGACACGGACAAAACATTCATCATCGCTGGCCGCTCGCTTCCATCCTGTCGCAGCTCCCTCCCGAACGACCTGGACCACAGTCGCCCATGTGGATCTGAAACAGTCAAAATCAAACACTGAAAACCAACGAAGTTGGCTGTTCAGTACCTGTGGTCCCTTCCACGAGGCTGGCTGTAGTGGATCACCACCTACCGACCGACCAATCGGCTGGTTTGGGCGATCCACAAACACGGTCGCACAACTGAAAAAATCAGCTTCAATCCAAATTACCAACCTTCATCATCAATTCTTCTACCTGCTATTAGATGTGCGACACCGACATCGACGCGTTTGTGGGAGCGTCTCTGTGATCCATATCAATTATCTATAAAAGCAGAGAAGTTAGGGGATTAAAAAAGCGTGAAAAATGATCGTCACATCATAATGGAGCATGGAGCATGAACTTAAAAAAACTATATATGATCTCGATCCCATTGAATTATTCGTATGAACCCCTATAAACATCAAAAAGAACACTGATGGATGAACATGTGAATTGAACTTGAGTGGAAATAGAAGTTAAGCGAAGATGGCCACGAAGAGCGGTGGTGCTGGCTAGGCGGTGGTTTTTCCGCCTTTTAATGATGTTTAATCATTTGTGGCACAGAGAACGACCA